ACTATCATATTTCAGTCAATAGATTTACGTCCAACTCAGACTATCATCAATTTTTTAACGGAAAAAAAGACAAGCTTTGAACATATGAATAGTTGGATGATCATTTTGTAACTTTTAATAGTCGATAGACTCAACAAAACAACGTCTTATAGTTAGAAAATCATTTTATAACATTTAATAATCAATGACTCAACAAAACAACACCCTATAATCGGAGGACCATTTGTGTACTTTATCCATATTATAAATAAAATTCTCATGCTTGAAATAAATAAAACTAGGAGATATGGTAGCATTGATGAAGTGTTAAATATGAACCTCTTAAATAATTTACTAACGAGGCATAGAATTACATCAAATTATGTTAAACTTAATTTGGCAACAATCGAACCAAATTCAAGTTTATTGCGAGTTAAACTCGAATAGCTTACGAGAATAGATATCTCATATCAAATTACCTCTCTGTTTTTTACTCCTAGTCAAAAAATTTCCATAGATGCAAAAAGTTAAATTGCAAAATCCAGTTGAAAATCTTACAAAGCAGAAGAAAGTGTCAAATAAGGAGCAAGGTGAAGTTGAATGATGCTACACCATAAGAAATTAAGGGGCTATTTGTTTCCTGCTGAATGTTGAACCGTTCAGCATTCAACGTGTTTGATTCTCACCTCTGAATGAAGATTGCGATGAATGATTCAACAAAACAATGTTGAATGATTCAGCATTAAAGTGCATTCTGAATGATTCAGAACCATTATCAAACAGCATGTCACATTCAGAGCTAATTCATACAGAGCCTTTGAATCATTCAGGCCATTGAATCATTCAGCGCTTAATCATTCTGATTTAATCAAATAGCCCCTTAGCCTCAAGCAGTAGTGGTCTCCTTTGATAAAAGAACCTTTACCCTTTTGGTGAGATCTCTCATAACTTTTACAATAAAGGATTTCTTCTACATCCGAAACTGTATCGCCAGCTCAGTTGAAACGAAAACGCCTTGTTTTAGTAGAGACTTGTTGTCCATTATCTTAGTCGGGAAGTGTCCCAGTGCAATCACACAGAGTGCGATGATGGTACGAAAATCAGCTACTTCGTTTGTAACTCCTAGGGGAGCTTCAGCTGATAAAGATTTTAGGACGCTAAAACCGTACCTCTGAACCGTTTCTATGTCATTTGATAGTAGAACTCGTAAAGTGGCCAATAAGCGCCCCTCTACCAAATCAGGACCTCCTATGGTTATCTATTAGGAATAGCCAAAAGGGAAATAAATATTACTATAAATGACCAATGTTTTTTCACAGCAGGCTTTACTTCATTTACAATTCAGGTTGCTGAGATAATTTTCCAAAAATGGAAGGTGGATACTGCGCTGTTGTTCTTTCTTGCTCGATATAGAACTGCTTCTTGGTTTGGAGCTAGATTTAAGGATGTTCTTATTCCTTTCGACTCCTTAGTGGGGGATATAAAATTAGCAGATTTAGCAGGAAGACATAAAAAGGGGTGCTCTCCTTCATCTAGGTGGGTACCTCCTTCGAAAGGGTTCATAAAACTTAATGTAGATGGTGCGATGGCTAAGGGATGGGATAAAGCAGGAATAGGTGGACTGATTAGGGATGGAAGAGGTATACTGCTTGGTTTGTTTTCAGAGAAGGTTGGGGGCGGTCCTCCTATACTTGCAGAGCTATTGGCGATCAAAAGAGGGTTGATTCTTATTGAAGAAGCACGATCTATTCCAAGTCAAAGGATTATCCTGGAATCGGATTCTACAAGTGCTTTAAAGTGGATTAAAAATCCGGATTTATGTACCCTTTGTTTCAATCCTTGGTGAGAGATATAGCTAATCGTGTGGAAGGACAACGTATTATTACAAGGCATATTCTGAGAGCTGGTAATTGGGAAGCAGATGAGTTAGCTAAAGTTGGTTAGGTTGATTAATAGATTATGTGTTGCAGTTCTTAAGGTGTTGTGTTTTGTTTGTATCTCATAAGGGTGTTTGGGTTTAAGTGTTATGTATTAAGTGTTATGTTGTAAGCAGTTAGTGGTTAGGGTCTGGATGTGTATTATTGTTCAGATTAATAAAATTCAGAGGCACTCTTTTCCTCCTTCCTAGGTCCTTCATGTTACTAATGTAACATGTAAGGTATGAAGGGTCTAATCTTCTATCACACAAAAAAACTCCAAAAGAAAACGACACCTTTTGTTCACCTGGAAGGGTAAAATTCACAATCAACTTTGAAGCTAACCATGGATATCAACAAAATATGCAAACAAAAACAAGGGAGTGTACACTCAAAATGGCACAAATTAATGTGAATAGTGACCACTTCTCAAATCACAATTTCTACACAGACCATTATTTGATCTGCCAAACCATTACTGTAGCAATGATATTGGTTTTCGCAATTTTTTCTTTTGTCCCACCAGCATCTATCACATTGGGTTGATTAAAATCCACACAAAGAAAATAAGATATTTCCTACCCAGTAACATAAATGATGAAAATATATACCTGGTAAAGAAGAGGAGCATATTGCAAGTTCTTTATATCCCCCCCAGCAAAGAAGATCGGTACAGTGTATGTTTCTGGAAGATTGCCGATGTAAGGCCACCAAAAGGATCCAACCTTTGCTCTTTCTTGTACAAGCTTCAGTCCCAACTTCATTGCCCATAGCTCCTCTGTCAAATGCTCCCAGAGAGTCCAATTTAAGCCCAATTTACAAAACTTGGTAGTTATTAACCCGTATGATTATGAATAAATAAAATTTCCATGACACCACTCACTAAAATCATTGTAGTACTTCGAGATATATTTACGAATGTTAAATGTTTTTTTTTGGATTAAAGTATGTCAATACACTATGATTAAATGATTGTTTTCCTTATTATAATTTTTAAAAAATGTAAAGTAATTATTATATTTACGAATTGTTATAAAATAATCAATAAAATATTATAATAACTATAAAATTTTAATAAATTTAATAATTATGTATAATAATCAAATAAATTAATAATTATTTTATTATTTTTGAATGATTAACGATCAAAACGATCATTTGAACATAATTTAATGAGATGCAGTTTATTTCATAAAAAAAAATATTCTTTCTAGTCAAACCCTCTCGTGACTAATTTACCCTAACGTTTGAACTGTTCTGAGAATTAGTTGGTATATTTTTCGAATCGGTCATGGTTGAGTTAGACGACGACAATAAATTTTCATGTCAAACTAAGTTTTAAATTAAAAATTAATATGAAAATTATAGGCATATCATATTCTGATTAAATCGCGCGTCATATTAACTTTTGGTATGCATGGGGCAGTGGCGGATCTACAGCTTGGTGAGTGTTTACCTTGAATTTCATATTTTTCGATTAGTTGTTTATTTTATTGATGGTGTGTATCTTAAAATTTTTCTTGCCTAAAATCTGAGTTTTCTTTGATTAGTTACTTATTTACGGATGATGTCCACCCTGAAATTTTATTTGTACTCATTCCATTTAAAAAATTTATGTTGTTAACATCTGTGTATCTACCCTGAAAAATATTTATGAATCCGTCACTACATTAGAATAAATTTTAATGTTAAAACTCTCAAATTTACTTACAAAATATTATCAAATATATCAAAAAGGAATTTAAACCAAAATACGCTATGTAGTATGTACACGCTTGTTAAACAATAATATTTATACTTCTAATAAGAAAAATTTTAAAGCATACGTCGTATAGCGTAACGTACTACTAAAGCGTCGTATTAAAACATATCACAATCATATTTGTTTTTTTACTTAAATATTAAAAAGTATTTTTTTTTAAATAATGCGTTGTGATTTGAGGTATGATGTAACTCCAAATGAGATGATTCCTTATTAATATCTGCATACAAAAACAAATTGTATGATGAGTTTCAAATTCAGTGGTGTTTATCATATAGTACGATGCGTTGTGATATAAGTATAAATTAATGATTTAAATTATCTATTTATCTTTTTTTCATAAAATTTTATCATTTTTTATTTTTCATCTCAATCTCAATTTACACTAATCAAATTACCATAAATTAGTGTAAAATTAAAAATTCTACATAATATACCCAAATATACCAATATACATATAACTGTAAATTACTTATTTGATAGTCCACATATTACTAAGATTTTTTTTGATCATCCAATTATTATTCTTTTTAAAAAGCATACCTAACATTAGATTTTAGTTCTATTTTAATCACATGTTATTAAACATTTAACGATAATACCGACGTATCACTATAAGATAATACAATGTCAGCATTGAAAAATAATTTCAAAACGTCACATCAATATCTCTATTAATTTTTTAATAGTTGACGACCAAAACAAAACCAAAACGTTATATAAGGTTTTTAAAAAATAATTGTTAGATAACTAACACATACACTAAATAATAAATGATTGGACAAATAGATAATTTATCCTATATACAATTGTACATTAAAAATTATAATGTGAGTATTTTATACTTTATGTCATTATCCAGCCCTTAGTCAACTAATTCAAATTAGTAGTCAACTAATTCAAATTAGGTAATATAAAAGTTCATATATCATAAATTTTAAATTCAAGGATAAACTATATCAAATACCACCAAACTATATACGATATATCATTTATACCACAAAACTTTCAATTTTATTAATTATAACACTGAACTTTAATTTTTATTTCAATTATACCACTAGAACATTAAAATGTTAACAATCAGATCAAAGTGTTCGATATATCATGTTGTATGTAAAAATAGTAATACAGTTAAAAGAATCCATTAATTTTGGATGTAAATGAAGAAAAATAAGCATAAGAGACATGGCAATAATACTAAAATAACCATTCAATTCAGTAGAAATTAGAGAAAATATTTTTTCTTTAACAATAATCTTTGAAAAAATATACACAATTTCCATATAAGCAAATAAGAAGGAATTAAGCAGAGATCGAAAAAGAAAAGAAAATAAAATCAGATCAATCGATGTTCGACGGTAAGAACTGACTAAGAAGAATTGATGGAACCATACCTTGTGCCGGCCATCATCATAGTCTTAAACTCTTCGAAATCAATCATCCCATTCCCATCATTATCGACACCACTTATCATCTTCCTACATTCAGAAAGGGAACAACCGTCTCCCAGGCTTTGAAGAACCTTATGAAGTTCCTCAGCCGAAATCGAGCCGTTCCCGTCTAGATCGTAGACAGAGAACGCCTCTTTCAGATCCTGCAAAACCTCATTGGAATCGACCCCCTTGGTGTTCAGCTCCAAGAATTCCTCGAAATCTACGAACCCATCGCCGTCGGCGTCGACTTCTTGGATCATATTTCGGAGTTCTTCGTCGGAGGGTTTTTGGCCGAGGGAACACATGACGGAACCGAGTTCGCACGACGAGATCTTGCCATCGCCATTGACATCGAACTTCTTGAATACCTCTTCGAGCTCTTGGAGATGTATTTGGGAGAAGTTTCTCGACGGGGTTTGCATTGGAGATGCTGTTGAGTTAGGGGATCGTTGGCTCTTTTTTCGACTGAAAACCGACCCAAACCCCATTGAATTTTAATCCAGAGATTCCGGCTAAAAAGGGAAAATGAGATCGAAGAGAAATCAACGAGAAATTTAAGAATAAAAAATGTTTTTTGGATTCCTAAATATGCAGGATGAGTACGGTTCTTTCAGAGGGAGTTCGGGCGTGATTGATGCATACAATTTGCGGGGATAAACAAAATAACATGGAAGCATGTCTTTCAAATTGATTTTGTTTTACAGATCTGATTAAGGATTGGGCTTTGGGGGTTAATTTTAAAAATTTTGAATTTTGAATAAAAATATTTAAAACACGTAATTTTTTTATTGCCTCACAATTTTTAAGGTTTCATCTTGATTAATTTGGATCGATCCGAGTCTCCTAACAAGATTTTTCTGTATACCCAGAGACTCAAATGTTTTAGTTCAAACGACCCATTTTAAATAAAAATTTCCTCTATATATGAAAAGTATTAGTTAGCATACTATTAACACATTAAAATAAAATTATTCTTACACTCAAATTAAACGTTGAGAGTCAAAATCCTCTAAAAAAAAAAATACTAAACTGGGTTTTTTTGTCTTAAAAAAAACATTGGATCAAAATACCTAAAAAATTAAAGATACAAATAATCAATTCAATAAACGTTAAGAATTAATTTTAGGGTAAAGTACAATAATGGCCAATGAACTTTTCAGGCAATTGCATTTAGGACCCCAACTTTTAAAACTTGTAACACAATCCTTAATTTTATTCTAAACCTCAAATTTCTTTTCGATCTCAAATTTCTTTTTTCGCTTCTCTATTCTCATTTCCAGCGTAAATTTTTAGTTGTGGATGCATGAGAAATTATAATCTAACTTTGAATTATGTGGAGGTGTTGACTTGAATAAGGGTCCATTGAGAGAAGACTTGATCAAGAGACTATCAGGACCATCAATAATTCAAGGTGTAATGTTAGATACATGTCATCTCAGGTGAAACATAGATGTTCGATGAAATGTTTGTGAGAAAAAATAGGGTTAGAAATGCAGAGTTGACAAATACTACTAAGATGAACTAAGTATCATTGTTTAAAGTCAACAAAAAAACTGAAATTATTTTGTATAAATGACATATAATAATTTATTCGTTTAAACCTTGTAGTTAAAGATTTTCCAACATATGATCAAATATAACAAAATTCCAAACAACGTATTCACCTCTCAGTCTCTTTCTCTCACATGCACTCTCATTTGGTTTTTGTTCTTCAATTTTCCACCATGTAAAATTGTAAACCCAAGCAGTGTTCTGTCTTTCAGCTTTTTATTTACAAAGAAAAAATGGAGGAAGAATTGCTGGAACGCAACATCGATTACGTTTATTTCTTAGCCTCTCCCCCTCATTTGCAAGAATGTATTTATTTTCTCTTTTTGGCTATCCAAAAGTAAGCTTTTCCTCTTTCTCACTTTCTCATTTTCAGATCACATTTTGTGTTTTTATTGAAATTTTTATGTTTATGGAACTGTATGTCAATAATCTGGATATTCAGTGTTAGTTTTGAACCAAAACCATCTATTTTTCTTTCTTTCTTCTTAATCAAAAATTTTAGTACTCCTTATGAAAGATATTCAATCTATTAGAATAAAAGTGAAAGAGGGTCCTAGGCTAACTTTTTTATCTTCTTATTTGGTTTTTTTTAAATCAGAGAATTGGTTGTGAGTATTGATATAGTGAAATCGCCAGGATCAATCAGAGACTGCTGGTACTAGTTTACTGGGAATTGTATTGATCCGACCTGTGGTTTTCGGCATCCTGTGAGCTCGTATTATTTTTAATAAGTTCATGTTGATTATGGGACTGATATATCGTGAACGAATTGGATTTTTTTACATGTTTTGGAAATTTGACAGTGAATTGTATTGAATTATAGCTTTAGAAGACAATTATGCATGCATATAACTCGAAAGACATCATGAACGTACTAAATGTTAGAGGATTGTATTGTAAGTTTTAAAAGTTGGAGGACCTAAATGAAAGTTTAAAAAAAATTCAGTGACCATTACTATACTTTACCCTTAATTTTAATATCATATCCGTTAAACAAGGGTGGCGCCTATTTGCTAACCCCACCTCTTTAGTAGGGAGGTTGATCCGTGCGAAGTATTATCTAACAGGGAACTTCTTAAACTCGAGATTGGAGTCGAACCCGTCTTACATGTAGCGTATCATTTGGAGCGCTAAGGGTCTTTTGTTGAAGGGACTGTATTGGAAGATTGGTGCAGGCACTTCAGTCTCGGTGTGGAATGATTTTTGTTGTCTTTAAATCCCCTAAGGTTAGTGGAGGCCGCCAGGAATGAGTCAGTTGTCACCGTGGTCGATTTGTCCGAACCATATTCGAAGTCTTGGAATGCTGAGTTAGTTCAGAATCTGTTTAGCGTGGACGAGGCAAAAGCTATCTTAGACATTCCTCTCTCTCAATTTGATAACGAGGAATGTCGCGTTGGGGAGAAGTCCAGTATTTATAGTGTTTGTAGTGATTATCAGCTGTTGTGGAGGTCTTAGGAATCCCTTGGTTAGAAAGGGTTGTGCTTAGGCATATTTGGGCTTGTGCGTGTCAACGAAAGATAAAGATACAACTTTGGAGATTCGTGTGTCAACGAGACAAAATCTTTACAATAAACATATTGCAAATAGCCCATGTTGTTTGCAATGTGATGAGCAGTGTGAATCCGGAGTTCATGTGGTTCGGGACTGTGTTCTTGCACGAAGGGTGTGGTTGCGGATGCAATAACCAGTGGACCCCAACATTTGATCAAGTGCCTTTTACAAAATGGTTGGGTCATCTTTTCCAGTAGTATTCAAAAGCTAAGCACCCAGAAATTATTACAACTATTTGGGCTTTGTGGAATGCTGAGAATAAATTTACACATGGAGGTCAGAAATTTCGAGCGGGTGAAATTGTTACCTTAGTAAGAGCTCAGTGTCTTGATTTTGCCAGGGCCAACACTTGTCTCTGTGGCCCTTCCCCGCAGTTCCCCGTTCACTGGACTTCTCCCCTTGATCAGAGGTTAAAGTCAATTTTGATGCTCGATTTGCACAGGAACAAAATAAAGCTTGGTATGGGGTTTCTAGCTTTCTAGCCTTCTCGGCTTGTTCCTCTTGTACTGAAGTCTTTGTGGTTTGTGTTACCGAACGTGAGAGCTGAGATAGACTCGAGAGTTGTTCCTTTCCAACTTCTTTCAAGTTTCAAAGTGATTCAAGTCGTGGTGACTTAGGAAGTCCCCACAGTACTCGTGCTTCTAAGATCCGCTTCAACCTAAATGGTTTGGATTAGCCCCAGTGGTGTTTTGCTTCCGTATTGTTGCTTAACCCTAACGGGTTTGTTCATCGCTTAGTGAGCCAAAGACTCACAATGACGTGGTTAAGACTGACTTAGGCGCCATTTCGACCTGGAAATCGTCTAAGTGTCGCACGAATCGACTAGCAGAAGTCTAGCCCCGTGACATACTGCATCAGTTGCTCGCTCATAGAATGATTGCATATCATCTGCAGCAAATGTTAAATGTAGATAGCAGTTTAGACAAAATCGTTCCCATTGGCATGGAACATTACAGAACAAGTCCATGGTATTCCCATATCTGCTTATTCCCTGATGTGTTCATTTAAAACTAATTCTTTCATTTTATTTTTCTTTTGGATGTGGTATATATTTGCATATAATTGTGTGGCATTGGAGCATCATTATATAAGATGTAAAATCAGTAAGAAAAACTCCCATGTAGTCACTCAGTATAAATCTTTCAGGTTCTTCAAGGCAGGGCTTCAACATCCTTGGGTTGGAGTTGTGAATCGTTCTCAAGCTGGCATAAATAAGAACGTTGATATGATTTTTGCTCGCCGAAAAGAGCGTGAATATTTTGAAACAAGCCCTGATTATGGACACTTAGCGAGTAGAATGGGATCAGAGTATCTTGCAAAACTATTGTCTGAGGTCCTTTTCTGGTTTTGTTTAGTTGTTTGTGTTAATTTTAAATATTAATAACTCACAAAAAGCTTTGGACATCTAACTAAACGAGTCCTTATCTTTATTGTCTCAATTTTCTCCTATTGTGGCATTTAGAGCTTGTTATCCGGCAGCGCATACCAAGCATCATTTCCTTAATAAATAAGACCATTGATGAGCTCAATGCAGAGTTGAACCGCATTGGCAGGCCAGTTGCGGCTGATGGAGCGGTAACAGCGTAGATCTTTCTGAAACGGTTTGCTTAGTTGTGAATGGGATACTTTTTCTGTCTAGTTCACGATAATTGTATTAAATGTATGTACAGGCCCAGTTATACACAATTTTAGAACTCTGCCGTGCATTTGACCGTGTCTTCAAAGAGCCACCTGGATGGAGGGCAAGGGAAAAGTGCATAAATTTTCGACTCTTTTAGTGCTTAGCAATGAAACTTCTGTACTCGTTCTGTCTTGAATATTTGTGGTCAGATTACAAGAAATCTGATAGTGATGACTAATCTTCCTGATCTCCTTTAATGTAGCCTATAATTCATATTCCAACAATGTGCTTAACTATGCCATTTCCTGTAGTATAATTTAAAAAAGTAAGGTGCTGCTTCAGGCGACCCGGTGGGGATCGGATATTTGGAGTTTTTGACAACCAATTACCGGCTGCTCCGAAGAAGCTACCATTTGACCGCTATCTTTCATTAAAGAGTGTCCAGAAGGTTGTCACAGAGGCTGATGGCTACCAGCCACATTTGATTGCTCCAGAACAAGGGTACAGAAGACTCATCGATGGTGCTATCAGCTATTTCAGAGGGCCAGCTGAAGCCTCCGTGGATGCTGTAGTGTTCTTACTTGTGCTTTCGATTCTTGGTTATGAACTTATTATAGATGCAAACAACAATTTCTTTTAATTATAAACAGCAAATTCTTGGGTCATTTGAGCATGTGTTCCCTTTAATATCTTGTTACTTTCTATTTGCAAGTTCGAGTGATTATTTTCTATTCGTTATAAGTTTGCAAGAAAGCTGAAGTCCATATATTACTCTTATTCTGACTGTTTAACGTCGCATGCTTTGATCTTCAGGTGCACTTTGTATTGAAAGAGCTTGTAAGGAAGTCGATAGCTGAAACACAGGTAAATAGGAACTAAAGTGATCATTCTAATAAATGTTGGGGTTAATTTTAATAATCAAGCATGAAGATTAGTCTAGCTGTATGTATTGGATTTTCAGCATCTTCGGTCGTTCTTCCTAGATCATCAATGCGAATTTGTATCTTCCAAAATGATTCTAAGTTCTAACTACTAATAGGATGAACTGTGGATAATATGCAACTTCAATGCACCTGCAGGAACTGAAGCGAATTCCGACGCTTCAAACCGACATAGCTACTGCCGCAAATGAAGCATTGGAAAAATTCCGAGACGAAAACCGGAAAACAGTGTTACGGTCGGTGGAGATGGAATCCAGTTACTTGACGGCCGATTTTTTCCGGAAGCTTAATGCCGAACCGGAAAAGATAACCGGGAAGAAGTCTACTGCAGAAGCAGACAAGAATGCAAGAACAGAATCGCCCTCCGGTGAACGGTAAAGTGAAAGTTACCTCAGAAGATTTGTATATGATTTCTTTCTTTTAAGCTCAAATTGACACATACTTGGACATGACCCTTGAAGAAGATGAAAAAAGGCTGATAAAATTGAAACACATTACCTGTTTCTTGGTTCAGGATCGAATGTGAATGCTTATATAGCCATGGTTTGTGATACGCTGAGGAATACTATTCCCAAAGCGGTGGTTTATTGCCAAGTCAGGGGGGCTAAGAGGTCACTGCTGAGCAACTTTTATGCTCAAGTAGGAAGAGGAGAGGTAAATTTGTCAAACAGCATTACATTATTGAATATTTTAGGGTAAACTATACATTTAGTACCTAAACTATCAGTTTTGATCTGTTTCGGTACCTAAACTTTCAATTTTTTCAAAACTAACCTGAAATTTAGTTTTTGTTTCATTTTAGTACCCGCAGTTAAAAACGTTAGTTTTTGTTTCATTTTAGTACCCCGTTCAAAATTTAACGTTAAGTTTTGAAAAAATTGAAAGTTTAGATGTCAAAATTGATAGTGTTAAACGCTTTAAGTTTTTAACTGCGGGTACTAATATAAAATGAAAACTAAACGTTAGGTATGATTTTGAAAAATTGAAAGTTTAGGTACTGAAATGGACTAGAATTGATAGTTTAAGTACTAAATGCGGAATTTACCCAATATTTTAAATAAGCCTCCTGTCCTTGTCCGATATATTTGGACACGAAATGGGGGTATATGACACCTGAAGAATATCTAAATTAATGAGAAATTGTAGAGAAATTGGCACTCGTAACATAGAAGGAAAATGAATGTTTGTGATGTTTTTGCAGAAGGGACGACTGAGTGCAATGCTGCATGAAGACCCTCAACTGATGGAAAGGCGAATGCAACTTGCCAAGCGTCTTGAGCTTTACAAATCCGCAAGAGATGACATTGATTTAGTCGCATGGAAATGAATATGATTCTTCACATATGCCACATCCTCTCCCTTTTTTTATTTTTATTTTTTTATTATATTAATGTGCAGATATTATTATTATTATTATTATTATTATTATTATAATGATAGCAATATTTAAAAAAAAATCAAATAACCGGATAGTATCTATCCTAAAATCCAAAATTTTTCCAATTATTTATCTATTTTATTGACTACGTCCATTTTGAATTTAATTTTGTGTCCGACCATTTTGTATTGTTAATATACGTGTGCCCTCAAAAGTCATTGATCATCAGTAATTTATTATTACAATCAAAACACTGAATATACAAAAATAAAAGTAGAAGATGCAATGGCATATGTATACAGGAACCGAAACAGAATGCACCTAGACCAAGCATGTCAAACGTGGAAGGAGCTCAGTGAAATATTGTCAAAGAAATCGCCTCAGATATAGTGTGTCGAAGAAATATCGTGATGATGGATGAGTTTTAAGTTCCGAATCATGAGTCCGAGTCTTGCCTGCTCGCTAAGCACAACTCGTGTAGTTCATTAAGGACCCATTCCTCGCCGGTGCGTCCACCTAATACCAAGACCCTAGTCCCCCCAACAACACAAGTGCTGTGACCCCAAGCAAGTTTCGGTGGTTGCCCGGGAACATTGAGAGTCTTCCATGACGGTTTCTCGTCTGAAGGATTGAAAAGGAAGAGCTGAGAAGGAGAGTGCAACCCAGCAATCGAACCGCCAAATATAGTTATCCTCCCGCAAGGCATGCTAACCGCAACGTGATCTAGTCGAGGAGGAGGTATGACGACATTTTGGTTACTGATGCTGTTGAAAGCACTGCAGTCAAGTTGCCTCCACTGTGGTTCTTCATCCTCCAAATCAATAGTGTAGGCTTCACCCGATCGGAGTTGCAAGTTCCCGCTCTTTGCGAGTCCTCCGAACATAAGAATTTTAGTACTACCGTAAACCGAAAGTGAATGGCCCAACCTAGATGGAGGTGTCCATGTTGTTGGAATCTCTTTCCATATTGGGTTTTCAGTAGTGAGATCCAAGAGGTAAGTGTCACTTAGCAGCACCCCGTCATCTGCACACCCACCAGAAACAACCAACTTAGAACCATCGATTGTGCACGAGCTATGCCAAGATCTCGGGAGAGGGGGGCTTCCACCAAATACTTCTTTCCATGTAGGTTGCTTGGCATCCAAGTCGAGAACAAAGACATCGTTGAGCAATCCTTGCCTTCCACACCCTCCGAATAACACCAACCATGACCCCTTCAGGCACGAGAGTGTGTGACCCCAACGCCCTGGAGGGGAAGATTTCACGCTCAACTGTTGCCACTCTGGATTTGAATCATCAAGGTCGAGAACAAATGTGTCATTCATTGGCTGCTTATTGACTCCCTCCCCTCCAAAAAGCACAAGTCGGTTCCCTGCTGCACACGCGCTAAAGTTGCAACGTGAAGGCTCCACTGCACCTCCGACAGTCAGTTTCTTCCAACAAACTGCCTCGAGAGTGGTCAATTCTCGGGTAAGACGTCCCCACCCCAACTTCTTAGTCATCGTTTCCAATGTACCAGTGACTTCTCGTCCCCAAGCATTTTGACATACCATCTTCCTCACATGCTCGTTTTTTGTTAGTCGGCGTACCCTTCTGCAGACGGACCCAATCGAAGCAACATCCCTTGGTGTCAACCGCGTTAAAATGTTGTGAGCCAAGACTTCATCGGAGAGTTGAAGTATCCCACACATTTTGTGATGATAAATGATCGATGGATTTCCGGTCAAATGAGAGCATTTGGCTGACTTATCCAACTGCTGATCACAAGTCTCTTTGAAAACCGGATATGATACATGGTTCAGATTCGGCTTTGCATCAGAAAAAACTTGAATACCGATAACGTGTGTGACAATACCATCATCATCATGTATAGGTGTAAGTTTTAATGTGTTCACGAATGGAGTGCCGTCCTTCCTGAAATTCACAAGTTCACCTTGGAATTCAATACCTTCTTCGAGACCTCTCCGTATCTCGGAAACAACGAAAGGATCTACCAAAGGGTGCCGTCTTTGAGCACATCTGTCTCTATACTGTAGGAATCGACTAAAACAAAACAAACAAATAAAACATCACACAAGAAGGAAGCATATATGGAGTATTGCTCTAGGGCATATTGAACAAATCAGTTAATATGGCATCCCAACACAAGTTATCTGATAGTCATCAAAGAGTAGACAATCATTGCAATTTTGTTAAACTGCTAATCTGAATCAAGCCAAAAAACTTGTTAAAAGTATCTCAAATTTCTATACATAATCTATTAGAGTTTGTCTAAATCAATTAATCCGTGAATTTGATAATTAGAAACTAGTTGGCGCGGTGAGTTTCACGTACAATTATGAGTCCGGATCATAGCCATACTTTATCAGATAAACAGTCACTACTTATTTTAATCAATATTGGTCACAGAAACTAACGAAAACAAATAAAGCTCCGTCAATAGTCAACTTTCTGCTAAAATTACTCCAAAAACAGATCTGCAAATCTTATGCTAAAACCTAAAAATATTTCTACATCGGAATTCAATTTTCTTCCTTCTCAAGTCTCGTCAACAAACATTATTAGCGATAAAAAAGAATAGCAGAAATCAAGATATGTTACCAGTTCCGGCCAAGGACTTCATCGGCACGATAACCGGTGAAAACCTCGAAGACTTTGTTGACATAAATGAGGGGAAAATCAGGTTCAAGAGCATCGGAAACGACGAAAGAAGTCGGGATTGTAGGGTAAGACAACAGCCTTGGCTTCAAAGGAAGCTCGTTCTTTCCTTCTCTTTCTTCTTCCCTTCGTTCAAGCTTTTCTTCTTCACCTTCCAATAAACGCTGCCGTTTTCCACTGCTTAGCAGCACTTCTTCTACTTTAGACATTTTTGCTTCTTTTTTTTTTTTCTCTTCTCCCTCTTGTTTCTATGGAACTGTTGTTGGCTTTACTTTTCCCACGCTTCAAGCTTTGTTTTACTATGTGCGAGATATTTATGTTTTGGATATTTATTACCCAAAATACCCTTACCCGCCTAACATATTTTCGAACCTTGCCCTGATCGAACTTCAATCTAAAATTTTAGGTAAACTACTTAGACCATTGATCATCAAAATTTTAAAATTAATATAATTATATTATTAAATTCTAGATTTAATATCAATTTTTTATTTAATTTTTTTATTTAAAATTAGGATAAGCTGTATTTTCTCATATTTTAAATTAAAATAAGATTAAAACAAAAATTAATTTAAAATTCAATGATTAAATTGACAGATATATTAAAATTTAATGATATCGGAAATAAATTATTTAAAAATAATTTAAATTTTAAATATAAATATAAATATATTATAATATGGCCAATTGAATGCATATCCCAATTCTAATAAAAATTAATCTGAAATTTAAATAATTTTTATATTACAACGTTACAATGAGATGCATTTTATGTTTATTTTTAATTATTTTCAAGCTAATAAATTAACTTAATGATTATCGTAACAATAATATTTTTGCGAGCAAAATGTGTATAATTTTGCTTTATCTTTATTTTTTTGGGAATAATTACTTTTTTTTTAAGATTTAATAAACTTTTCCCCGATTAAACCCGTGCTTTTTAATCAAAATGGGGAGTAGCAATTTGGTAATTAAACGAGGATCGAGTGGCAAGAGAGAAGAGTGGAAGCCCACGTCGGAATAGTGGAAAACACGTGTCCAAATGAAATCCAATAAAAAAAATATCTGAGCCGATCCTGCCACCTCATCAGTGTTAGCCATTACATGCATACATATATATATATTCTCTAAAAACAGGAGGATATTTAAAAAATATATATATATATATATATATATATATATTTGGCTAAATACCTATTTGACCCTTGTACTTTAGTAGCATTATCTCTTAAACCTTTTTACTATTTTTTAAGTCACTTCACTCCAATGTCATTAACTATTAAAACAAGGTAATGTGATCTAATGAGAGGGCTATGAAAATAATTCCATTCAATATCTTGTATTCATTAATGGTCTTACACACACTTATCATTTTAGTATCTTATGTTAATTCAGTTAAATTAGCATAGATATAAATTATGTTATTCAGATTTAAAAATGAATCTATAAATATAGATAATTCTTGATTTTTAGATTCTATAATGGTATCAATTGATTTATTGACAACGTATACACATCCTATAAACGCAATTACTCGAATCTAATTTCATTGAAAACAATATTTTTTTTACCATTGAAATCATTTAATCAGTTTTAAGTAAATGCATTTTTCCAACATTTACATATATTTTTAGGGTTCTTGTAAGATGTATCATACATCCCAGTGCCTATGTTTAGATATGCGTCGAATATGTATATCGAACATGGTTACTTAAAAAATGAACCTTTGGAGTGACACAATTATATAGTAACAAATACAAATAACTGAATGCTGACTATCATTTGCTCTCTTATATTGGGTAGTTTACTGTACAGTAGCCTAATATAAGGCGTTACCGAAAATGTTAATATATTTTTAACATTTACGGTAGAGCGCTACCTAAAATGTTATTTTTTTTCTACGATAAATGTTAATTTCGCTACCTAAAATAAATATTTCTGATATTAACATTTTCAGTAAAAAAAATAGCATTTTAAGTAGCGCCTGATATTAATATTTCCAGTAGAAAAAATAACATTTTAGGTAGCGCTCTACCGAAAATGTTAAAAAATATTAACATTTTCGGTAGTACCTTTTATTAACCTTATATTAAGCTAACTTTCCTTAGACATCCCCTCTTACATTTTGTTTTTGTGTTAGCTGTACAAAATCTCTTGTACTTTTGGGTCTAGATCGTTAACGATTATAGTTAGGTTTCGGGTTAGGTAAATCCTTTTTAAATTCGGATTGAATCGAATGGAGCGAAAATGTTTAATTTTTTAATTGAATTTGAGTGGATTAAAAATCTCATTACCATTTTTAGACAAAAATGATAGTAGGTCTAGTGGTTTTGTATATTTAATTTAATATCATAATTTAAGGGTTAATATAAAAATAAGTATCTAAACTATACATAAAATTAATTTTTTATGTCTAAAGGATTTTGCTTTAAATATAGGTGGATAATATTTTCTCTATCTTTTAGGTGTTTACCATTTAAAAAGATCATTAAGAGACACGTGTAACGTCAGATATTTTTTAAAAATATTTTATTTAAAAAATATATATAAACATAACACAAGTTACTTACCGATTTTTTTTTAACGGTCGACACCTGAAAGTGTAACGGAAAAAAACATTAGACACTTATTTAAAAAAAATCTTTAAACACTAAAAGTTAAATTTGGATATAGTTTAAGTATTGAATTTTGTATTAAGTCTACTTTTAATATCTTATATATTAATTTTTACTTATAATTTTATTAAAATATAGCTAATAATATATATATATGAAATAATATTTTTGTAATTGTATTGGGAAGTGATAAAATCTCTTCAACTCAACCTAAAACTCAAATTTTATATAAAAAAATCTGAGCAAATATAAATTTATGGGATGGAGTTTTCTAAGACAAGTTATGTGTTTAGTATTTAAACTATCATTTTTCATCCGTTTTACTACTTAAATTTTCATTTTTTTAAATCATACCTAACATTTAGTTTTTGTTTCATTTTGGTACCTAACATTTAATTATATCATTCATCAATTATTTATCTTCTCACTCGTATTTTGGTACTAAAGTTTAACAATTTTTAATTTAACTTATCAACTTTCAAATTGCTCCTATTTTAATCACTCTAATTTGTTTTATTAATAATTTTTGTGACATGATAATTTTTATATTAATATGTAATTAAAAATAAAATATAAGTTTGGAAGTTAGAGTGATTAAGTTAGGAGTAATTTGAAAGTTAAATAATTAAATTGAAAATATTAAATTTTAGTGACCAAAATAGGAGTGAAAAGATAGTTCAGTAATAAATAGTGCAATTTACCCATAAAAAAGGTGTCACATGCAAATCACTTGAAGTTTTAATGGTGAGGTACTTAACAAACAAAAGCTAAATGTTAGATATGATTTTAAAAAAATTAAAATTTTAAGTACTAAAATATATCAAAACTAATAATTTAGGTACTAAACGTGCAAATTACCTTTTTTTATTACCTAATAAACAGGCTTAATATTAGCAGCGAATACCACACTTCAACATGGTGGAGTGGGCCGAAATGCGAGAAGTGAAAGCCCAAAATAGCTTCATAATCAATCAGTCATGGCCATCGACGCCACAGTCGGTCACACTAGAGACCTGCTGCATCGTTAAAACCTAAACCAAAACCCAGTAGAACTCTTTCCTCAGTTCCCAGTTCTCACTCAACAAAGCACAAATTTGTTGTAGAACAGATTAAGAAGAGAGAGAGAAAAATGCAATCTCAGCTTTGAAAATGAAGCTAAACTCTGCAACTATTTCTTCACCAAAATGCTAGTATCTCTCCGCCGTATCTTCCACATCAACCGCAGAATCCCTATCAGAGTAAGCCGCCCTTTCTTTCTATATCAAAACCCTCATCTCATAACGTTTTCCCCACCATACGATAGCTCTCTTGTTGTCTGCCCCTTTGTATTGTTCACTAGTTTTTATTTCGTGATCAAGCTCCCATTTGGGACCAAGTCTCGTTATAATACCAACAATTTTTTAGATGATTTCGATAAGGAATCGTTGGTTAATATCATTCGACAAGACCAATGGAATGACCCAAAGATTGTGAATTTGTTTGGTTCGAGCTTGGCGCCCATTTGGGTGTCTAAGGTTTTGGTCGGTTTGAAACGGGAACCTCGTTTGGCGTTGAAATTCTTCAAACGGGCTAAAACCCAGAAAGGGTTTAGCCCTACTAGTGAATCATATTGTGTATTAGTGCACATTTTGTTTTATAGCAAAATGTATTTTGATGCTACTGCTGTTCTTAAGGAATTCGTTTTGTCAAGGCGTGGAGTAGTGTTTCCAGGTTTCGATTTTTTCGATGTTCTTTGGTCCACAAGGAACGTTTGTCCATATGGGTTTGGGGTGTTTGATGCTTTGTTTAGTGTGTTGGTGGATTTGGGATTGCTTGAGGAGGCTGGCAAATGTTTTTCGAAAATGAAGAGATTTAGAGTTTTGCCTAAAGTTCGTTCTTGTAATGCATTTTTAAATAAGGTTTGTAAGTCAGGGGGAAGAAACCGGTCTCAGAGGTTTCTGGAGGAAATGGTCGGGGCTGGCATAGCTCCGTCGGTATACACTTATAATATAGTGATAGATTGTATGTGCAAAGAAGGGGAATTGGAGACTGCAAGAATGCTGCTCACACAAATGAAAGAGATTGACCTAACACCGGATGTTGTCACATATAACTCCCTAATTGATGGATATGGAAAGGTGGGATTATTGAATGAAGTCCTTTTCTTTTTTGAAAAGATGAAGGACGTAGGGTGTGAGCCTGATGTAATTACATACAACGCCATTATAAACTGCTTTTGTAGATTTCAGAAGATGCATCAAGCTTTTGAGTTTTTTCGTGAAATGAGGAATAAGGGGTTGAGACCAAATGTTGTCACTTACAGCACGTTTATTGATGCTTTTTGCAAGGAAGGGATGATGCAACAAGGGATTAAATTCTTGGTTGATATGAGGCGGCTTGGTCTTTTACCCAATGAGTACACTTATACTTCTTTAATTGATGCAAATTGTAAAGCTGGCAACCTAACCGAAGCACTGAAGCTGGCTAATGAGATGTTGCAGGCAAATATTGCCTTTAACATTGTTACATATACAACTATAATCGATGGTCTTTGTGAAGCAGGGCGAATAGAGGAAGCAGATGAAATTTTTAGGGCAATTCTGAAAGCTGGATTAACTCCTAATGTGCAAATTTATACCACTATCGCTCACGGCTATATGAAAGTTAAGAAGATGGAGCATGCCTTGAATCTTTTCAAAGAAATGAAGGAGAAAAGCATTAATCCTGACCTTTTGTTGCATGGAACTGTCATTTGGGGATTATGCAATCAGGATAAGATAGAAGAAACTAAAATTGTCATCGGTGAAATGAAGGAATCTGGATTGAGTTTAAATCCTGTCATATATACTACAATCATGGATTCTTATTTTAAGGCGGGGAAAATAAACGAGGCACTGAATCTGTTAGAAGAAATATGGGACCTCGGTATTGAAGTTACAGTTGTTACTTTTTGTGTTTTGGTTGATGGTTTGTGCAAAGCAGGATTGGTTCTAGAGGCAATCAATTATTTCAACAGAATGCCAGAGTTCAATTTACAACCTAATGTCGCAGTTTATACAGTATTGATTGATGGCCTCTGTAAAAAGAATTTCATTGAAGCAGCCAAAAGTATGTTTGATGAAATGCTAAATAAAAATCTAGTTCCAGATACAACTGCTTACACTGCTTTAATAGATGGAAATCTAAAGCATGGAAATTTTAAGGAATCTTTGAATCTGAAGAACCGGATGATTGAAATGGGCATGGAGCTGGATTTGCCAGCTTACACTTCCCTGGTTTCAGGGTTTTGCCGATGTGGTCAGTTACAGCTAGCAAGAGAATTTCTGGATGAGATGATAAGCAAGGGTATCCTTCCCGATGAAGTTCTCTACATTGGTGTATTAAGGAAGTACTATGAGTTTGGGCATGTTGCTGAAGCCATTGAGTTGCAAAATGAAATGACTGAGAGGGGTTTAATTACTAGTTCCGTCCATCATGTTGTTCCTAGTGTACAAACTTAAGGCCCAATTGTTCGGTCATCTTGTTCAAGCTGTGCGGACAACATGAATTGGAGGACGGGTGTACCATAATAAAGAATAAGAAACTGAAGGTATTCGTTGTTGTGAGAATGCAACCATATTTGAGTAGATCATGGATAAAGGATCCACGGCGTCACGTTTTAATGATGCAAAATCGTGATAATGGTTCATTTTGGAGTCAACTGAGCATTTGATGTACGGTGCCTAGATCATATCTTCCATACCTTGATGCTGACTGGTGAGATATAGTCACAACTGACAGTTTTGGTTTCTTCAATGTGTAGAAACAGTGGGAAATGTGCATCTTATTGATACATAGTTTTTATTGGATGAAATTACAGTTTATGAACTAGAAAAACTAGATTTGTTTTCCTATACTCTTCCATATTTGCTTTTATTTCTTATGTTATCATATAAATTGAATGTGACTGGGTTTATCCTTACTTGGACAGTTTAAAAGGTTGTGCTCACAGTACTAAAAATGTTAGAGAAACTAAACATTTCAAAGAAATAAAACCAACCTATGTTACTCAGACTCGCGTCTGAGTGTCGGATACTTGTATGTTTCTGACACAAGTTTTCCATGCATTTGGAGGGTCTTTGTATAGTCATGTCTACATACTCATGTCCTGATGTGTCTGGGATGATTGTTGGACACTGTACGTGAAGGAAAATGAAGAGTCAGAGTAACATAAAAACAGCTATGGTAAATTGTGGTTACCTCCAAAAGTTGTTTTGCACTGACAAACTGCCATGGTTACGATATGAACAACAATTGTCGTGAGCTCATAGTTTGTGTTTACATCTATGATACATGGACATTTTCTGAGAATTTCTTTCATCTTTTGTTGAACTGGAGCTTTGTTCAAGAATCTGATTGCCCCTTCATTTGTCGATTAAGATGCCCTTTTTCTTTGTTAGCTTTCTTGTCAGGGTTGCTTTTCAGTTCACCTGTATCATGCTAACTACAATGGGTTCTTCATTTTATTATTTTTTTTTGTCAACATGTCTCATTAGGTTAAAGCAAAGCTGCATTCTCAGTTCGCGTATGATCTTCTACTCTGATTGCCAGTGCAGATAAAGAGTTTTAGACCAGACGATACTGTTTTCTTTATCAAGTAAGTTTTAGTGTCATGTATATATGTGTATTCCTCTATTTTATAGGACGAACAAGCGCCACAAACTGTTAATGATCGTCTTATTTCAGTTTTTGATTCCTTGTTTATCGATGAGTCATTATATCTTAAATATCAAAATTCTTAATGCTAATGATACGTTAATATCGGTTTTTATAGTTACTTTGTTGATTAGAGTTTCTTTTTTCATCAAGTTTGGAGCAGACAGTTATAGTCTCAAGTGCCCATGTTTTGACTTATGAGTTTGGTTGAGGACACCCCCCAATTGACATTCTAACTAATTATTTAACTTAATTTTTTTCCCAGAATGAACGAATACTCCTTGGTACATGACATATAATTACATTGGTTCAGAGCTCTAGGATTGTTGATGTGTTCTCAGTAATGGAGTTGGTGAACATGTGTAAACTGACAACAAAGGCTATGCTTGACCTGCAAAATGGGGCTTTGGAGTTTGAATTCTGGGACGAGCTTTGATGTTGAAACCGACGAAGGAGAATGTAAGTGCTTTGAATTCCGGGACAGGTTTACCTGCTCTTCTATACTTGATTCTGGTCGAGCTGCGGGTTCGACTGATATAACACATGTGCATTAAGTTGGAGGGAGTAGACGTCTGGCTTGTAGAGTTCCGGGTATCACCGGGGTTTGTGTGCATCAGAGACAACGTTCATAATGAAGCAGAAAACCGCACATACAGTAGTCGAAACCCCTCATTGGATTTCGGGGCCCCTCTGCATCGAGTCGTTGAGGAGAACGCTGCAGTGACAAGGCAGGATATGTTTGACCTGCAAACATAGTGTTGGAGTTTGAATTCTTGGACGAGTCAATGAAGGTTCAAAGGATATATTTATCTATCAATCTATGAATCGGAAGAAACGTAAATTGTTTGGAAATGCTTGTCCGGGACAGTGTTTACCTACTTTGTGTTGTACAAGGATTATGTATGTCGAACACAACAATGATTTCGAAGCCGGACCGACAATGGTTGATACTTCTGGGGGCCTTGTGCAAAATTCCGTTGGGAAACTTGATTTTTATCAGAGTTTGAACAATTTGCAGAATCTTGTGAACATTTCTTCTGTATCGTAGCCATTTTTGTGAACACTAGTTCAAGTTTTGTGAGCATTTCATTGTTTCAGAGCTTTAGGATTCAAAAATACATACTTTTTTGTTTAGAAATCACTCGACTTAAAGTTGTAGCCCACTCTTCCACAAAGTGCTATGCGGAAGTTACATAGTTTTCTGAGTAGTTTTTAAAATTTCTTTATTTCAGGGCAGCGGTAGTCTTTTTCGGCCACCATCATGTCATTTTTTAGTTTTTTTTTATTATATTTTCAATAATAGTTTTCTTTAAATTTTTTTAGTAAAGGATATCATGACTACTAATGTTTTAGACTCTCGGTGTAGGTTTTTTTTATTGGTCTTTTGTTTTTCATTGAATACATGGTTGGTTGTTTTTCTGATATCTGGTTACTTTGTATGTTTGTACGAGACGGTTTGTTGGTTATCGCATATATGTGCCATATGAGATTGTTGTCAAGGAGAAATCATTTTTTCCATTAGTCATTTTGGTTCTTCTTCGAGTTTCTTTCCTCCTATTTTGATGCTTAAAGTTGTTAGTGTATTCAATTTATGTACGTTGTTACTCTACTTATTAGTGATCTTATTTATCATATTATTACTAAACGATCATTGTTATATTTTATTGTTGAAGGAGGAGGCGGGCGGAGGGTCGTACTCGCGGTGCTTGTCAAAAACATGGCTGTAATACTTAAATGGGGGTGGCCAGCCAAGTGGATGAGGCGGCGCCACATGACACCATCGGCTCACATGCATGGGATGGAACCAACCAACTTCACATGCTTCTCTTTGCTTCTCGTCTTTCATTATTGTTCGTATTCCACTTTCACCGTCACCTTCACCTTCACCCTTTAATTTGCTTTTTCATCGGGGTACTCATCAATTTGCATTCACTGCCTAGTATAAGACGGTTAAAACGGACGGTGTCCGAGTATAGATCCAGGGAAGGTAGAACCATCTTCTTTTAAAAATTTAAAACTATCATAAATTTAAAAAAAAATTAATATCAAAAATTTATTTTTATATCTTAAAAGTTTTATAAATTCAAATTTAGTACTAACATAAGATTTTGTAATCATATGTTACGGTGTCAGTGGATCAATCAATGGTGTCCCAAATTATTTCGATTTTTGGGGGTTTCGATTATCGAATTCTGTGCTGTGCCCGCCCTTCTTCAACCTCTTTCTGTACGAATTTCAAGCTTCCTTTTTTGGCTTTGCAGGTTAATGTACTTTCACCTCGTTTTCTTCATGCACAAATACATTTCATAAACTTCTCTCTGACTTGAGTTCCAAGACAAGTTATTTCAACGAACGATAAAAACAAAGGTAATCGGACACCCGAGTTCCTTTAGTTTAGAGTGTCTAAAGTATAGATACAGTTCGGATATTTTCTTAGACAGGATGCAAGGCCCTTAAAACTGACTAGTTAAGGCGCAAGGTTCGACACTCGCAAGGGATGGACTAGTCGGGGGTGTGGTGTCCGATGTAGTGATTTTAGGGGCCACATCCTTGGTTGACTAGAGGGATGCATGAGTTTCGAAATGCATAAATCTCTCAGCCGCACCATGATGTCTACCATAGCGTAGAGAGTGAATATCGCAAGGATATTCACTAATAGTAGTAATGATTATATTTATTGTATATTTTATCAGTTGTTACAATATGTTTTTAATATACACATGTTAGTATAATTTAGTTGTTAGTGTGACACTGACCTAGTTAGCTCAGCTTTTGGAATTTGTTTCCTTATGCATATTAAGTGAAGATCTGTAGAGGATCCGGTTGACCAGCAGTGTCCCAAACATAATCCAGAGCAGAGAACGTCTCGAGTCCTTTAGAGGACATGTATATTCAAAATCCCTATTTTGTGTACTTGAGTCGTGAATTGTTTTAAATGATGATCTATATATTTTGTTTACTATTTTTGGGAACTCCCGAATAAAAATTGTTTTGTATAAATATTGTCATTTATTTTATCATGAATGTTTATAGGTAAATGTTTTTAATTTAATTGGTTTAAGAAAAATTTTGGTTAACCATTTCGGTGGTTCTGTGTGGCACTCTCATTGGTCGATTGTATGTCGTACTAGTGTAGGGTGTTACATTTAGTGAAATCAGAACGTTAGGTTTGATGTCTATAACTGTTTGACTTAAGCCTACTTTGATGATGTTGATGGAAGGATTTAGGGTTTTCCTCTAAAGCAATAAATTCTCAGTGTACTTAGGAATAGGCATTGGTTGGATCGGGTCGGAATTTCGATCCACTGACCCGAAAATTATAAATCCTCCACTCAAATCTTATCCAAATTTTCTAGTTAAAATTCAAACTCGACTCGACCCAAAATAATATATTTATTAAAAAATATTATTTTTATTTAATAAAAATATAGATTTAATTGGAAGAAAATAATATATGGGGTATTATTATAATTATCTCTAAATATATAAGGTAAAATTACAATTTTTTCGGGTCAGGTCGAGTCATGTATTTTTCACCCTAAATCCAAACTCGACTCGACCCGAACATAACCTTAACAAAATCCGACCCAACCTGACCCGAACATATATATATTTTTAAAAAATATGACCTAATCAGATTCGGGTCTCATGTCTATCTCAAAGTGTACTTATGCAATGAGTGCAAAATCATAGTCAAAAAGTGATGTTAAAGTTGAAATTAGACTGACTTTTTTTTAATATCTTTTTCTTTCCTATTGTTAATTTTAAATTCAATTTTTTTATCAGATGATCATAAAAAAAAAGATGTAAAACTCTTAATTTACACTAGGTGTAAATGAATCATACCCTTTATTTTTAGGCTAAATTGCATTGTTACTCACTGAACTTTACTCTCTCTCATGTTTTACTCACTGTACTTTTATTTTTTCTATTTTGCTCACTGAACTTTAAAGAGTGAATAATTTTGCTCACTCTGTCGTTAACTTTTTAATAGTGTTATAACATGACACAAGCATCAAAACGATGTCGTTTTGAAAAACTCAACCAAAACGTCATCGTTTTGAATCTTCTTTCCCCTCATTGATGCTTCTGATCACCACATCATTTTTTATTCCGACCATCATTGATGGTGGCCATTCAGTCCCAAAATTCATAGGTCAATTCGTCTCAAGCCCCTGAGTTCAAATCTGATTGTTGTTTCACCGGAAAATATTTCAAAATTCGTGAATCTTGATTGAAATGTTTCATCTTCCTTGTTTTCAATCACTAAATTGTGAACTTCGAAGCAAGTTACAATAAAATGGAGGTCGGATTTTGACTCAAGGAGTCGAGGCGAAGCGACCCGTGAAATTTAGAACTGAACAATCATTATGT